TTTTGTTTGTTTTTCTATTGAGCAATTTTAGTTCCGTCTGTTTGGATATTACCCGCTTAACAGATGAACAGCTTGAGCTGTTTTCTGTATTCTGACGTTTTATTACTCTCTTGCCCATCTCTTTGCTGTGCAGAACCTTTTTAGTTTGATATAATCTTATTTGCCAGCTTTGGCTTCTGTTGCTATGCTTTGTGTAATATCCAAAATCTTTCGTCCATGCTTATTGTTGTCGTGAATAATTTCCATGCTTTCTTCTAGCGGTTACATCAACTTCAGCCGTGTACTTAATTCTTTCAGTCCATTCACAGTTGTAAGGTGAGAGGTCGTCTGGTTTCATTCCTCTGAATGTGGATATTTGCACAGCGCCATTGACTGAGAAGCCTGCCTTCCTTGCTGCATTAAGCTTTTAGCGTCTTTGCTCAAGTTCGACTGGTTGTAAATTTATGGGGCGAGTTCTGGGCTCTCCAAACTCTACCAGCCTGTGTGTCTGGTTTTTGCTGGTTTAGTTTCTACAGTTTTGAAGTCGATTATGAAGTTAGGTAGGTAGTATGCTGTTTTCAGCTTGGATCTCAAGATAGCTTTGCTTATCTGGGTACTTTTGTGATTTCATACAAATTTCAGAGTTTTTTCTATTTCTATAAAGACTGCTGGTATTTTGATAGGGATTGCATTGAATCAGTAGCTCACTGGGTAGCTTGGCTATTTTAACACAATTAATTCCTCCAATCCGTCAGCATGGAAGGTTTTTACACTTGTCTGTACCCCTTCACTTCCTTTCACCCGAGTCTCATAGTTTCCGTTGTAGACATCTTTTGTCTTCTTGCTTAAATTTACTATTAGATATTTTATTTTTGTAAATATTGTAAATGGGATTGTTCTTGGAGCTCCTTTTTGTGGAAAGTGTACTCTGAGTATGTAGAAATGCCATGTTGATTCTGTGTGTTGATTTTTTATCTTATACCATTATTGAATTCATCTGTTAACTTCAGCATTTTTGTGACATTCGTAAGATTTTCTATGTATAAGATCATGTCATGTACAAACAAGGTCAGTGTGATTTTTCTCTTTTCCAATTTAGATGGCCTTTATTTAATTTCCTGGCTGAATTGACCCAGCTGGACTTCAAGAATAAGGTCCAATAAAAGCAATTAAAATGAGCTTTACTGTCTTCTCCAAAATCCTAGAGGAAAAACTTCAATCCTCCCTACTTGGTATGATGTTAACTTTGTGTTGGTCCTCTATTGCTTCTGTTCATTGAGATACATTCTTATGATGCTTAATTTGTTGAGAAGTTTATCATTCAGAGACTTTGAATTTTATCAGATATTTTTCTTTATCTATTGAAATCCTATAGTTTCTGTCCTTGAGCCTGATAATGTGACATATTATACTTACTGATTTTCATGTTGGAATACCCTTGCATGACTGGAATGAATCCCACATGACCATGTGAATGATCTTTTCCGCACGCTGTTCAATTCAGTTTGTTAGATTTTTGTTCAACCAGTACCTACTCACCCAGGGCCCACCTCACTACTCCTCCAATGGACCCTCTGATCCTCTCACCTGTCTGCTTTTCCTCCGGAGATGTGGCTGACAGGGGGATAGAGGGAGGAGGCAGGTTTTGCATTAGTTATTCTTGAAATGCTTGGTAGGATTCATTAATGAAGCATCAGGTCCTGGGCTTTTATCTGATGGAAGACATTTTATTGTGATTTAATCTGATTTACCATTATTGATCTGCTTGAGTTTTCTATTTCTTGGTGACTAAATTGTGGTAAGTCGTACGTACCTGGAAACTCTTCATTTCTTCTAGTTTTCCCTGTTCTGGGTAATACAAACATTTATAATCACTTTTGTGAGCCTTTCTGTTTCTGTGCTTTGAGTTTACTGTCTCCGTTTTCAGCAATGGTTTTATTTATTTGAGACCTTTGCTTCCTTCTTCTAGCCAAACGTTTGCCAGTTCAGTCTTACCAAAGGATTATTTATTTCACTGACCTTCTGTGCCACTACCTCCGTCCAACTCTCCCTAAGGCCCTCCCACCTCCCTGCCCATTTCTCATCCATCTTGTGCTATTTCTGT